CTTTTATTGTTTACGTATACGGGACTGGTAGAAAAAATGAGAAATCTAAGCTATGACTTGTAATTTCATTATTGTTACTTCAGTCACCACTGTTACTGAGTTATTATCATTCTAATTTTGTCACTGCAACAAGACTATGTAAGTTTTAGAGTTGTAAACGTCGTACATAATTCCTCCATGTTTCGCTAAAAAGTTAAGTAATAATAATTGTTATTAAAATTCGTACGTGTACCATGTATTAAAAGAATTAAGATAAATGCAAATAAGAATAGGTCAGCATTTGAAACAGAATTTTCAGATCTAGCACCGGAAACAAACAATGAACTATTGTACAGACTGTTAACTTTTTAACAGGGTAGCGTTATTTCTACATTTTTAAGTTATATTTACCATATACTCTACTTGTGCTGAATTACATTTTTAAACATTACTTTGTTATACTTATACATATAATAACTTTATATATACACTATCATTATGTTGCTCAATAAAGTGCTATTAAAATTACTGCGATGTAAATATGCAATAAAATTTTATAAATGAACTTTAAATAAAGTTAATGCACCATATCAGACTTTTCTATATCACTTTACCTAACCATTATATATTTATAACAATCATTGTAAATATAAAGTATTAATAATAATGAAAAAGATAAATATTAAGTACGCGTGTCTCATTTTAAGTTTATATAAGTCTGGAGGAATTTATTTAATAAATTTTGTACCAGCCTGTTACATGTATTGATTCATAGTGTTAACCGGATATGTAGGTTCGTGACTCAACAATACGAGGTGTCGCGATTTAAGTTAGGCAAAATGTCCAAAAATTAAGGAACATTGATAAGACTTTATAAACGAATGAATCTACGAAATTATTTATTGAATCATTATTGTCATATATAAATCTAAGATTGTAGATTAATTCGTAAGCGAGGCTGGTAAGTTTATTGAAGAGTAACGATGGAATCTTTATGAAATGTAGACAAATAAGTAGATGTCAATTCGCTTCGTAATATGAAATAGAGATAGACGCTTAACAATATACAATTTTTAACTTCATACGTTAAGTGTTTTATTCTTTTGTTTGAAACAACGCATTTCATTGAAATCTAATCCGTGTATGGGATTAAATGTAATTTATTTACCGAGGTAACCTTCTATTTTTTTCAGCTATTCATATATGTACATATGTATCGATATAAGTCATAAATGTACAATACGTGATTTTAATAAACGGTAAGTCGATAATTGGTATATATATGTGTATGTGTGCATGCACATTATTGTCTTATTGCGATGTAAAATCTACACATCGCAAGAAAAGTAATAAAATTATAAAAAAGGTATAAAATTATTCATTGTGTATTAATTATTCGATTTCTACTAAACATATTCTGAAGACAGAAACTAATGGTATGCTTCTATGTGGTTTAATCAAACTATTAGTGTCTGTGTTTGTTTCAGAATTATAGTAAATTCTTTGAATCACAGCTGAGCTGTTTTCTTTTCCTCAATGAACTCTGTCCTGACATGTCTTACACTGAATTGGAACATGGTTATCAGGTAAGGAACAGTATTATTTATTTACAAGGTAGAACATAACTTTAATCGAATAACAATTTATTAACAGGGTCTACGGAATGCCAGTCGACCAATTTTCTATGTAGGGGACTTAAATACAGTTCAACCAACCCTTGTGGGTCCTGTTGCTTCTTCTGTATATCGTTCATCAAAAAGAGTAAGCATTACTTTATCTATCGAAACATACCATTTATGTAATTAATCATTTTTTATTAACTATATTGAAATTGTTTTATCGAAGCTTACTAAA